CACTAACTTCTTAAAAAGAAAGATGCTTGGTTTTCATTCTTTTCTGTTCGTGAAAAGAAAATGTAATTAAAGTTCTGAGTCGTTCTAAAAAAATGAGTTCTGATTCTATCCTTTTCGTTGTTTGCTTTCCTGCACACACGCCAACTATTAAAGTTTTTTAACCAACTATTTTGGGACCGGGATAGCCTGGTTGGTAGGGCGCTCACCTCGCGTTCGTGAGAATAGGAGTTCGAATCCAGTTGACTGAAGATTGCAGTAAATGGTGACTGGTGCACGTTAAATGTGTCGGGTCACAAAGCCTTCCATGTTCCCATAACAAATTATACCTCTGGGGGTACTGAATTGGAGATCGATCGCTCTCTGGTTCAGGTGAAAATTACGATCTGTGGATGAATGAAAGGATGTGTGAATGGATCTTCCCTATAAAACGGGAGTGACGTATGTGTGTGGCAAAAGTCGATTTCTTGGCCATAGATGGCGCTACTGGAAAATAAGAACAATCGCACCCCCTTTGCCTTAATGGCGGATGACAACATCCATAATATTTAAATAAATGTTTGAAATATAAATAAATTTTTAAAGTCAGTAAAAATTATTTCAAATAATTAATAATTTAAATAATGAAATATTTTAAATAACTATTAAAATAATTGCAAGCCCCGCTGCTGTTTTTGGCGTTAATGTTTAAAGTATTTTTGCTGCAAAAATATTTTATGAGTTAGGAACTTGAAATTATAAAGGTGTATAAAAACGTGCAGGGAATACGACAAAATGGAGGAAAAAAAATTCGTTCAATAAATAATTCGAGAATTATAAACTGTTAAACAACTTGTCGTGAAAAGTATAAAGCAGGAATACAATTGAAATTTGACACGCTGAAAGGACTATATTTGTTTAAGAACTTCACAAGCTTGTTTTGAAAATTCAAGTTATTGTAAAATTATTGCAATTTTATCTTGTTGTTTTTTCACAACTTTTCACACTTTTTTGTTGTACGTTACATTTTATTTTACTATGCAAAAACAATAAGACTTGAAAGTACGAAGGTGTTTAGAGAAATGTACAAAAAAAATAACATACAATTATTAGTTCATTTGTTATTAACTTTAAAATTTAAAGTAAAATAATATTCTGTGAACCATAGAAATGTGTAATTACAGAACTAAAATTTGACATTCTAAAAGAGCCATTTCCATTTATGAGCTTAACGCAATATTTTACTGTGAAATACGATACCTGCAAATGACGTAATGTGGGTATCTCGATCCTGATTGGTTGTTGAAGCATGGCATTTGTTTACGTTAGCAACTACTCCTTCCTATCTATTTCGAGTAAACCATGCCCATCAAGCATCAACTCTCTTAAGTGACGCATTATATATTTTTTCACAAAGATTTTAATTCTTTCACTATATATTTCTAACTTAGCACTTCGACAGGTACGAAGCCCTGTAGAACATAATAAATTTAATTATGCCTCGGAATTTCTAGGTACACAAAACATATATATATATATTACAGTTACAATAAAATACTTGAACAAATAATAAGTTAAGTAAAGAAACGTAGACGGGAAGGAATTACATTTCTACAAATTCGATGTGCGATACAGCGCTGTATTCAATTAATATCGCGTTAATTAACATTCTAACTTATGTAGAGAAAGTTAGCTCAACTTTAACACGCCATTTCAGCTTATATTATCATAAGTCACATGTCAGGGTATCCGTGATCTTCTTGAAATGGAAGTACTACCTAATTTCAACTTGTTCAAACGTTATTACTATTTTAACTACAGTTTTCGAGGATTTTGCTTTATTTATTTATTTATTCTTCTTCTCTGAATAATTATTTACCCATTGTAAACTCTGGCGAACTTTCATAAGCGTGTGAGAGACTTAATGTCTAAAATAAGAAAAAAAAATAATGAATCAATGTAACAAAAACATCAGAGAGATGGTTTTAGACAAGAAACTTGACATCTGTAACGGAATTTTTCAAAATATAACTACTAAAAGGAAGAAAAAAAACTGTTTCTAATTCAAACTGATTCAATATGATATAAGTTTATCGTTATTGTTTGTTAGCAAGTAAAATTCTATTTCTTCTTATAATTTAGTTTTTAACAATTTTTTTCAAGTACATTTGATTATAATTTTTCAAATTCAAGTAATCGCTCAGTTTATTAAATTTATATGTTACTGTGAATGATCGAAATTGGTGGTTTACTTCCACCGGTGAATGTTGACAATCACATAGTCACTTCGGTAAATGCACAAAATATATATTAGGTCTAGTTAAGTGACACTGCCTGGTATACATTTGCCCGATATGCCATACATCAATGTTTTTTAAGGTCAAGTGTTACAGCCCGGTATGCATATAGCCGGTAATCCAAACACTGATGCTTTAACAAAATGTGCTTTCGTAATAATTATTAAAATTAAATATTTTATAAACAAAATCTTTTTTTTTTAATCGCAGAAAAACAACAAATAGAAACAATCACCGAGTTACTGAGCAGGGACTTCAAGATATATAAAGCACTAATGAGTATATAAATATAAGCAGTTTTTTTTAATTGGGTGACAAAGAGACAGAGTCAAACGAGTGAGCATTTATAAATAATTTCAAATTAAATTATAATCTATTCCTTTTAGATACTTTTTGCGTGGTCCAGTAAAAGCTGAAATAGGCTGAGCTGTAAGGTGGGCAGAAATGATAGTTTAAATGCGAACCATTCAATTTAATTAAAATGATATACATTTTTGCTTTTATTATGCTTAATTAATTTTAAGAGGTCGCATAATAATTTTCTATTTGTGTATGTTACATTAAAGCTTGTTAGAGAATAAAGGACCTAAAACTGCTGCATTTCCAAACATTGAAAATTATAATTGCGTACAGACGGAAATTTTGTAAATTATTTTTTTAAAGTATAATTTTCAAGGATTAGTTAATTGTATACAAATCAAATTACAGTGTATATGTTAACGTGAACAACCGAAATCAAAAGAATGTCGACTTCCGGTGAATGTCAACAATCACATAGTCGCTTTGGTGAATGTCCGAAATATTTGTTACACCCGATTTGATATTAATTTATTCGTCGATATTATATTTATTCGGTAATTTAATATTTGCTGAGGATAGATTAGAAGAAATATAAGTGTTTGGAGTCCCAGTTATATGCATACAGTGGCACTGGCACTGAACCTTAAAAAAACATCAGTGTAGGGCAGTGTTTGCCAAACTTTTGACTTTTGTGTACCTTTTCTAAATTTTTCGCAACGCTGTGTACCACTAATAAAAAAAATGAATGTATCTCTTACTATAAAAAAAATGATCTAAAGTTAAAAATCACAACTGGCTGTTGATACCAGTAATTATTAACTGTTATTCTGCAAAAAAAATAGCCAATAGAAAAATACGTAATTGTTAATTTTCATGGCTAACTTCATTTTTAAATAAAAGTTTTTGAAATGTTCGTTTGTTGCAAGATATTTCGCATAAGGACGCGTATCCCCGCTAAACTGATCCCGTAACCCTGGGGGTACGCTTACCACACTTTGGGAAACACTGGTGTAGGGTATGCCGAGCAAATGTATACCGGGAAGTGGCATTGTACCTTACAAAAACATTGATGTAGGGTATTTCGGGCAAATGTGTACCGGGCAGGTGCACTTAATAAGAAATAGTATAATTTTCGGACATTTACCAAGTCAACTATGTGATTGTCAACATTCAACGATGGAAATCAACAACCACCCATATCGATTATTCACAGTATTGAATTTAAACAGATAAAGAAAAGACAATTCTAAGGTTTCAGAGGATGCATATGTTACATACTTTGAGAGCAACTTCTTAAAAAGAGTAACAGAGCATGCATATAAAGCTGTGCTATAATAAATAAAAAGCTCCCAACGGGTGGAGCAAGCTAGATCACAGAAAGGGACTGCGGTAGCAATTCCGTGAGCAATTGGGCTCAGCGAGCAGGAATTGGAGCTTCCTATCCGAAGTCAAAATTCTTGATGGTCCTCTCAAAACATTTTGATGGTTTATGTTGGTTTCAGTGCGATTCATGATGGTCCAGCATCATTTGATGGTCACCATCATCCAACATTTTTCACTATGCTTTCATGATTTTCGATATATCGACAAACTTCCATCATGGAATGATGGAAAATTCTACTTTAATACTATGATGGTTTTGCCTCAAGAGTGGTTTGATTCTTATGGAGCAACACTCCATGATGGTTCCAACCATACATTTCCATGATGTTTTAACGGGAATACTTGTTGATTATCAGGAATATACCATCAAAATTAGTTTTTTTTAATGTTGGACCATCATAAATCAGTCGGAAGGAAAATGTTACTTTAATGCCATGATGGTTAGCCATCAGGAGAAGTTTGATTCTCATGAGCCAACAATTCATGATGATTCACAATGGTTCATGATGGTTTCAACTCTACATTTCTATGACGATTTAAATGGGAATTCTTGTTGATTCTCAGGAGTATAAAATCAAAAAAAATTGTTTTTTTTTTTATATTGGACCATCAAAAATCAGTCTAAATTCCTACACTGGGATGATGGTGGTTCATGATCGTTCCAACATTTGATTTCTAAGAAACTATGATGGAAATTTCTGTTCGTTCACCATGAACAAACCATAAAAAAAATGCTTTTTTATATGTTGAACCATCTAAAATCTCCTAGAATTCCTTTTTTGGGGTGATGGTTACTTATGTTGGTTACCATCAAAAATATAATGAAATGATTGATGGTTACCATCAAGATTATGTTGGTCCATCAATGGAAAACCATCAGAAATTTTGAGTAGGGACAATATGCTCACTTATGTGCTCACAAAATCGATACAATTTCTTCTCTGGTTTACGTTATGTTTTTGAGCCATTGTATATCATAATAAATGGCGTTTTCATAGCAAAAGTATCAAACAAAAATGTGATATATTCTTTCTATTTTTTCAGATAACCCATATCATTGTGACTGCGATATTCTGTGGTTCAGAGACTGGCTCCATTTAAAAGGTCAGAACGTAGTCAATCTTCCAAAGGAGACGAGGTGCAATACAACCGTGCACGATCAGAAGCCCATCGTCAAACTGACCAATAGCAGTTTCTCTTGTTCCGGCAAGTCGGATATCACGACCAATAGCGTTACACTTCTTTCCCTGCTCCTAATTTCAATGTTAACCTTTATTGTCTCTATTAGATAATAATTTTTTTTCAAAAAAGCAAACGAGTTTTCTTATTTCAAATGTTTTTTATGAACACTTAATACAGATTGGGTAAGTTGTGTGACACGGAACGCAGAGGGGAGAGTTCCGAATCGCTTCCGAATATATCGAATAATTCATACACTGTAAAAATGTTTTAGGGTCACCAAACAATGGTAGCAACTACTTTCGTTAGCCCCACAGATAACTCTTGGTTCTTGGAATCACCAGGAATATTCTATTACACTACTTAGTGCAAAGTGGCTGCCACCACGTTTTGATATTCTTTAACACTAAAATCTATAGTTACATTTAGATATAATACACATGAATCAGCTAATTTATTTTATCGATACAATTATAAAAGAAAGAATTATAAATTATTTTAATTAATTTTAATTTTTAAATAAAATTAATTTCATTATCAAATGTGTACAGAGCACAGAGATAATATGAATTCGAACGATGCCGAACAAAACAGAAGCTAACACAAGTTAAATATTATAAATTCATTTAATACAATTGATAGATTTATGCAAATCTTTTAATGTGAACATAACTTACGCAACTTAAAACATGCATGGCAATTACTGTCTCTGGCCAAATTATTAAACGCACTATAAGATTCTATGTAAAATCTTAATTATCAGGTGATACTGCATTGTTTTTACGTGACTGAAACCAGTTTGCACTTGTTTACGTTACGTGTATCAATTGGTTAACCCCTTAACGATTGGTAAATTTTCAAGAAAACGGTCATAAAAGTGCCTATTTTTTTATTAGTGCTATTTGATTAGTCCTGACATCTAGTTTAAAATAAACTAACTATCTACAATTACCTTAAAAATATCCTGGTACTGCCATCTGGTGCGTAAAATGAGAAATAAAATATTTTTCTGGCAAAAGAAATGAATTAGTCTTATTCTTATGGGAGCGTTACTACTGAACATTCCAGCCAGGAAATATCACGGGAGCAAGAAATAGAGGGCGAAACCTCACCCCGTCATTTTCACGGGAGCGAGAAGGAAGGGGCTAAATAAGACTATTGGATAAATTAGACGAAATATTATATAAATATAGAATATCTATTATTCAGGTATTTTATTCAGAAGATTCTTCCTATTTGTATTTACTTTGAACATATTACATTGCAATATTAACCAATAGGATACACGAAGGTAAACAAGTGCAAACCGCGTGAAAACAATAAAGCTGTATAGTATCACCTGGCAATTAAGATTTTACATAGAATCCTATAGTACGTCTAATAATCTAGTCAGAAACTATATAACAGTTAAATTCTGTTTTTGTGGATTGTTCAGCTGCGTGTGATGCAATAACAAACTGATCCTTCCTCGTTCGTTAGCATTCTGCTGTTGTCGTTTGACTGTTTCCAAACGAACGTCGAAATAGGCGACAATATATTCATAATTAGATCCAAGCTTGGTGTAAGTTACCTCAATTATAGGTGGTTAGACTTAATTACACCCTATAAAGTGTTTATGAACGCTTAACTCGATATACGCTTGTAATTAAGTACACCAGGGATGGCGAACCAATGGCACGCGTGCCAATTATGGCACGTCGTGACACAATATTTTGGGCACCCCACCGACCGCAATTGTTATTGCACTATGAATTGTTATTACACAAATGTTATTACATTATAAAGCATATGTAACAATCAAATTAAAATTCACAAAAACAAACAAAATAATAAACAACAATTAATAAAAAAAATAGCAATTAATACTAAAAAAACATTTAATAACCATAAAAAACAAGTTAACAATAAGTAACTAGCAAAAAAAAACAACAGTCTTGCTTAAACTAACATCTTACAACCTAATATAAGTTATTTGTCATCTAATCTGCAGCAACAGAAGTCACACTGATGTTACTTTAAGTTGAATTACACTTAGTGTTTCGTTGCCGGGCTAATCGTGAGAGGTTTGTTCCGAATGCAGCGCAAAAATTTTAAAATGGAAGTCATTTACAGAAGGTAAATTTGTCCCGATTCTTGAATCAGAAGTTCTCCTGCATTCAGAGCAGATTTCAAAATTATGAGTTTATAGGATTGAATTTAAGAATCTTATATTCGCTGTTGGGTGCCCATGTTATCTCCCAAAAGAGATCTATATTACACGCTTCTAACACAAAAGCGGCCTCAGTTTAAATATCGGCAATAGTTAATTATATCNAAAGCAATTAATAACCATAAAAAACAAGCTAACAATAAATAAATAACAAAAAAAAAAAACAGTCTTGCTTAAACTAACATCTTACAACCTAATATAAGTTATTTGTCATCTAATCTGCAATAACAGAAGTCACACTGATGTTACTTTAAGTTGAATTGCGCTTATAACTGAGACATTGCAAAATGTTTTTTTTCTTTTTTTTCATTGTAAATAGTTTTGAGTTGATAGTATTTAGTATTATTATTTTCCCAATAATCACGAAGTCAAAATTATTTGACAGCACGTCTATGACATCATTAAACAATTTTTTAGAAAAAATGGCACGTTGGTGTATAAAGGTTCGCCACCCCTGAAGTACACAATCGATTCTATATTTAGTAAAGATAAAGTAAAGTTGGCTTTTTTAAGCACCACATTTTTATAGGTATGACACCGCAGTTTTTGCAGGGTTATTTTTCATGCATTCTAAAATCTTTTTTGAGCGAGAAACAGGAGTTTCCTGTAAAATAGCAGAAAATCAAAAACGAGATATTTATGCAAAAAGACAGGAAAAAAGGAGTAAGAAATTTTATTTTATTTTATAACCGTCGTTATACAGCCGACCCATTTTTGGGGTTTACTGACACTAATCTTCAACTCCGTGGCCTTGTAATTTTGAACCCAATCCAGAAGACAAGGAAACTCCTGGTTCATGTATTGGGATAAATTTGCCTTTGTAGAAGACTTTTTGAAGGAACTAATCCGAATTTGCGTTACATGGAGAGGAAAGCCACTAAAACCCTCACGGTTAGCCTAACGGCAAGGGGGCTCTAATCCATGATCCGTCTACCACTGAGGATATTTTACGTCAGCACAATGGTCGGTGCGAGCCGGGTGAGGAATTCGTATCGACCAGTCATCGCTGGGATTCGAACCCGGGTCACCTTATTGGAAGGCGAACGCTTTATCCTGTGCTATGTGCGTTGAAATAATAATTTGTGTAACTTAACAGATATTTTCCTGTTTATATTTTTATATAAACTTTTTACAGTGTGAAGCCTAATCATAGTGGGTTCCTTTTTTAATATTTCAAACGAAAAAAATTTTAATTTTAAATTTAACAAATTCGATTCATTGCTTTTGAAAACTTCATTTAGTTCCTAATTGCATATGGCTCGACCCATTCGCGTAAAATCTATTTTTAATTTATTCCAAAACTGTTAAGTTATATTTATTATTAGAACATTTTATTACACTCTCACAGTTTGTTTGCAAGAAAAAATGGAGAGATGGAGGTCAACCTCTGTGATTGAATCTAATTTAACTCTCTTTATGTACGGGAATGCGATCAACTGCATGAACAATTTGGGAACACGCTCCACTGGCTCCGTGTTACAATACTCAATCTTTCAACGCCCTTCAATAATTTATTTCTCAAACATTGTTCTTTAAAATTGATGGAAATGCAAAAAATGAATCATTTTTGTTAGATAGGACTAAGGACATTGAATGTTAGCATAAGATTCAGCGTATTTCTACAAATATTAAAATCTAAATTAAGAATACATCAATATAAACTATATATTTTTGTCATGCATTTCTATTAATTATAATTCATATATTATTAATAATTTTTTAATCATATAAAACTTTTTAAGTAGGCTATTATTGAGTTAATTAGAGAAATATACTATGTCTGACCAAATAAAAACATTCGACTAGAATTCAACCCTGTAATTTTCCCTAATATACTTCTTTAATAACAGTAAATACTTCTTTAATAAAAGAAGAATGATGAATTCTTATAAA